GACATTCAGCTTCTTTAGAAGAGAAACTTCTACTGTTCTTCTGGAAAGTGTACATCTGGCTGCAGACATTTCACATGTTGGGCAGGCTCTGGGGTCTTGAACACTCTGTACACACACTTTTTTATGTGTGTGTGTCTGTGTGAGGAATATTGTCCCTGAACTAACATCTGCGCCATTCTTCCTCTATTTTGTATATGGGATGCCACTACGGTATGGCTTGATGAGTGCCACAGGTCCGTGCCCCGGGATCTGAACCCGCAAACCCCTGGCTGCCAAAGCGGAGCACACAAACTTAACCACCATGCCACTGGGCTGACCCCGCTGCACAAACACACTTGTAACCAGTCCCTCTAGTTGCACCCTTGTGCTTTATTCTCTGCTGTACCAAGCACCTCAAACACTAAGTTTCTCTAGGATTCTTTCTTACTTCAGTTTAATAAATGAGTTCTTATTCTCTCTTTCCAAGTTCATTCTTCTAAAAAAATGCATTAAAATCTTTTGTCTGACTGAAATCCCTTCTCCAGTTCTCCTGGTGCTTGTGAGTTTATACTTATTTTATTTATTTATTCTCATTTTAGTAGGATCTTCAAAAGAAGCAGTGATAAACACATGTAAGCTGATCCTCAGAAGCCCACAGTTCAACTGTTTTTCAGAGTGCTATTATTAGGTAGTCATTCGTCTTCATGTGAAAATGAGGTTTTGTTTCCAACTATTCCTTCTTTTCCTTTCCTTTATAACCTTTCCCCTTACATTTTATCTAATCCCTGATCATAGTACAGATCAGAAATAGATTTTTAAATCATTTATATTATTTTTAAACAGATTCATGCTAACCCACTCTAGCTTTATGAAGCAAATAAGGTTTAATATGTCTCTCTAAAGGAGGAAAAAAGAAACTAAGTTATGATTAAACTCCAATAGTTTTACTTTCAGTGCACTTCATATTTTTTCCTGTGAGTCAGTGGTTCTCACTGTTAATTCCTTCACAGTGTAGCAGTGTAGACAAAGTATAGCACCCTCACATTAGAGATCCATTTTTTATTCATTCCATAGTTTTGTTTTTAATATCTCATAATTGATTTCTTTTGGGTAACTTAAATGGATTGACCATGGAGAGGAACTAAGGAAGAAGACTGAGATAACCATCTTTGCAGAAGAGTTTTAAACAATTCTTTTTGTTCTTTTTTCATTTTCAGCACTCCTTGGAATTGGAGAAATGGTCATCATTTTTGACATCTACATTTACAGTCTCTTAACAATCTACTCTAGTTCTCTCGCTGACTTCAAACCACCCCCGCACCTCTTCCCAGCCACAAAAAAACAAGTCTACCACATTTTTCACAAGACATTCATGACAGCCTTTCAGATATCTGAAATTAGCAATCATCATCCCCTTGAGGCATTTGTTCCTCCTCCATTGCAGTAACCAAACTGGAACAGTGTACTTTAAACATGTCTCAACCAGTACAGAGTAAAAAGGGCTTATCATCTCACTTGTTCTAGGTAATTCTTAGCTCCGGCTCAAATTAAATTTGGCTTTTTGAGAGTTACACCACAAGGAAGGCTTACATTAAATTGTGTTTTTCCCTATATCCCAGCTATTCCCTATATATATATATATAATGTGACATTGTTGTTAGGCTTTTCTATCTCAGAACTAATTTTTTTCTACCTATATGTAAGATTTTGTTTGATTTAGCAAATGTTAATCTTTTGATTTCAGCCTATTCTCTCAAACTTTAGAAATTCTTTTTGATTAACAATTCAGAAGATACCCTTCTCCAACCAACATTCATTAATGGCAGCTTACAAATTGGAATCTCCTACCTTCTATGTCTTCATTTGAGTCATTGATGACAAGATTTAGGAGGGAAGGGTCAAACAGAAAGTCCTGCGGATTATCAGTGGAATGCTCATTCAGGTTGATGTCCATCCGTCAGTCAATTCTATTTGACTTCAATTGGTCAACCAACTACATCAGCCTAATTGTACTATATTTTCAATTGCTGTTTCTTCTTCACGAAGACATAGTAAAACAAGTTAGTCAGATGTCTTAATAGAGTCTATGATATTTCCTGATTTACCAATCTAGTGAACTTTTCATAAAATTTCTTAAGGTTAGCTTGGCATGATTTCTTCTTAGTGAACTCAGGCTGGATATCAGTGATTAGTGCTAATTGCTCTTAAAACATCTGTTTAATAATATATTCTAGAGACCTTTCAGTTTAATATGTCAGGGTAAGGACATCTTTGCTTCCTTCTCCTCTCTAGAACCAACCAAAAACTATGAGGAAAATGAGAGATAGAAACCAAAACTCCATCTTTGATAAAATTTGAAAGCATTTTTAACCCTGATCCCCAAAACTAAAGGCTCCCTAATGCAGTAAAAACTGGATCAGGGTGAAGAAGATACTGAGGATGCCTGCTGTTCTGGATTTCAGGCCAAGAATAGAGTCCTAAAAGGTGGGGGGCATGACTTGAGTGAGGAAAAAAAAAAGACCCCTCTTTTGAAACAAAATCAGTCTTCAGGCTGGTAGTGAGAACATCCTGGAACACTGTTTGACCACCACATAGTGGCAGAGGAGGTAGAGACTGGAAAAATTAAAGGATATAATACTACACACACACACACACACACACACACACACACACACACACACACACACACACACACATGCATACACACACATAAGCATATATAGAGGGCTTTCCTGTAAGAAAGGGAAACTTCTTGCTAGTTAGAAGCAGAATCACAACTACAAGGAAGAGTACTCATAAGCGTTTACATAGACAACAGATGATGCTCAAATTACTCACTCTCAACTACTCACTACTATCCTACTTACTCTCTCAGTCTCTTCCCAAAATTATACTTTCATACAGAACAGGGCTAGTAAAGAACCCCTCTAATGCAACTTCAAGTAATAATTGAAAATAAACTAACATGGTACTGATGCAAAATATGTTGCAAAAAGGAAGAAAAACGACCAATAAAGGATTGTGGAACAACACACAAAACAAACATTGAACACATGAAAAATAAGTCAGCAGAGATCATAAAATTAATGTAAGGAAAAATAATACTACCAATGAAGGTAAAAATACACTGGTGAAAATGGTCAGAGACATGGAAGACAGGCTTGGGAAAAATGAGCAAAATGAAATGGAAAATAACAGTTAAAAATTATTAGAGAAAAATGGTAGATATGGAAGACAAAGAAAGCTCTGTGATATGTATAATTTTTGCATCTAGGAAGAGAACAGAACAAAGGTATTTCAGGAAAGCTTTCCTGAAACAAAGCTGTGAATCTACAGGCTTAAAGGGAGGCATGCTGTCCTAGGAAAAATTCATACAGATCGATCAAGATATATCCTCGTAAAATAACTGGAGCTTGTAAATAAAAGACACATTCATATGGGCTTCTAGGCCATAAAATCAAGTCACCTATTATGTGAGAGATTCTCAGGCTGGTTTTAAATTTCTTCATAACAACATTCATTGCTAGAATTAAGTATAGCAATCCATGTCTACAGAGACATCAGAGAAAGAGAATGTGACCCAGAAATTGTACAATGGCCCAACTATAATTCACATATAAACACAACAGACAGATAATTTTACACATGCAAGATAGTAGGAAATATGGTTCCTATGAGCCCATTTTAAAGAAGCTTCTAGAGGATAGCCTTGAGGTAACTAAACAATGAATGGAAAAATGGATAAAAGGACTATTTTGAGAAGAGAGCTCATTTAAATGTAAAACTATGACTAATCAACTATAGGAATTATGGCTGCATAAAAGCATGTAAAGGCTATAAAAATTGACAATACAGAAATAGTATTAAAAAAGTTGGGAGATGACAGAGACTGGTAGAGAAGGTGAGAGGTAGGATAAGTGTACTAATTTCCTTATATCTTGTAATGGGTGAGGGGTCAGTAGACCCTGTTCATAGCTGATAAATCACGTATTAGATGGGTAAATATATTTTAAGGATCCAAAGGTAACAACTAGACTCAGTATAATAATAAAATCAACCAAAAAATCCCTATGGTAGAGTAATGGAGGAAGTAGAAATATGTTTATTTCTTCATAATTTATAGCAAGGAGTTAATAAATTCTATCTAAATAAATAGTTAAAATCTATTCTAAAATTTTGCCAACTCACCATTCTGTATTCTATGGAATATATCTTTTCTTCCAGTTTGAAAAATCTTCATTATCTTTTCTCTTCTCCATGATTCTTCAAAGAGTACTGGAATGGTCCTGGGACCACATCTGCCAGTTCTTTTTAGCATCTTTGGATAGTCTTCATCTAGATCTAGAGATCTGAACTCTTTTAAAGCAGCCAAGCACAACAATCTTGATTTCACTGTATTCATGTTTTATTCCTACCAATTCCAGTTGGTTTACTATTTTTTTCTCTCTTTTTTCTTCCTTCCCATCCATCCACCAATTCAACTAACATTTATTCAGCTTTTACTATGAGTCAGATGCTATGCAAGGAAGCTGGCTAGTTAGAAAGCCCATGCAGATAAACTCCTGCCCTCAACAAGTTCAGTCTAGTGAGAAGGCAGACAAATAACTCTAACACAAATAAATGCTTTTAATATCAGGAGCACCGCCCCCCCCCCCCCAAAGAAAAGCTAAAGCTATCTGGATGATTCTGGAAAGGCTCTATGGAAAAATAGCATTTTGTCTGTGTCTTGAAGAATGAGAAAGGTCTTCATTAGGCAGAGAAAAAAGAAAAGAACATTCCAGGTAGAAAGTAAAAAATAAGCAAAGACACAGAAGAAATGATGATCACTTTTGTTTGACTATAAATAGGAACATATTGGAAAGTGAGGGGCAGAGGTGGCCCTAGAGATTGTTCTCTGGGTTGAAGATAGAGTCCACTCTTCCGGGTGACTCTGTAAGTACAGTGGGTTCTCCTTGAGTCTAGCAGTATCACACTTAGGTTTGGTCCCTCACCATAAGACATCAACCCTCCATGATACCTACCCTCTTTTTTTGCCCCCAGAAAACACTCCACATTGCCAAGAAGCACTCCAGTTGAGAATTGGATTGATGACCCCAGTGAATAGCACACAGCCCTGGCCAGTTCCCATAGGCTGCAGGCTGCCCACTCCCGGTTCCAATACAGTTCTCTCAGGGAGTGCTTCCCAGCCCCCATCCTTGCTGTATCTCACCTTCATCTCCAAGGCCTCTGGCACCTTCTTGCCTTCCCAAGCCCAACTCCGCTTGGTGAAGTAGTTGACAGTGGCAAATTCAATCAGCGCAGAAAATACAAAGGCATAACAGACGGCTATGAACCAATCCATGGCCGTCGCGTATGCCACTTTAGGTAAGGAGTTTCTGGCACTGATACTCAAGGTGGTCATGGTGAGAACAGTGGTGACACCTGGGGAGAGGGAAGATGAGAACCACTGGAAGACATTTAGAGCATATCTGATGAGATCACCAACTTCCTACCTGATACCCCACTCAAAAGGGCCCCTTTAAAGTAAAAAAACAGAGAATGTCAAAGTGGGATGGTTCTACCTAGGAACCACCCCATCCCAATTTCACAGGAATAGGAATCTCCATCACTTCTAAAAGTTGTCCTCTAGACTGCTTAAACATTTTCATTGATGAGTAGGTAAGCCTATTTCACTGTAAGAGAGCTTTTTAATTAGAAAACCTACCTTATGAGCTGAAACCTGCCTTCCTCTACCTCTTAGCCTACTGACTGATCTCAGAGTTCTATCTCTGGCAACACAGGAAAAAAAAAGCCCGCTCCCTCCTCTCCAGGATAGGCCTTCAGAGAGTTGGAGAGGGTGGCCATGTTTCTTCATGAATCTGTTCATCTCCAAAATGAATATGGTCAGTTCTTTCTCTTGTTTCTCCTTCTTTCCCATTCTGGTAGGTAGTTCTCTTCTGAACAGCCCAGAACTGAGCTCAAGACTCAGGACATAGTCTGAGCTCAGTAGGATTTTTACTTCCCTTGTTGTGGACATTGTTATCCTAAAAATGCTACAAACTATTGCGGAAAATGGTTCTTAGCTGCATCACAGTATAGGTCCTCTTGAGCTTTGTGAACAACCAAAGCTATTCCAATATCTATTTCTTGTGAATTTTTGCCAAACCAGAGCTTGCTTTTAGATCAATTGATTCTTTCACTTGGTGGTGTCATTAACCGAAATTTAAGACTTTCCTTTATTCACTTTTAAATGATATTAAATTTTTTTTGCTAATCTGTCATATTTTAGATATACATATGAGCTATATAGTGCTATGATTAACAACAGGAGCCTTAGAGTCAGACTTAAATAGAGCGCAGTTCTGGCAATCCCACCTACTAGTAATATGACCTTGAACGAGGTCAGCTTTACCATGTGTAAAATGTGTGTGATGACACCAGACTCAGAGATTTGTTGGGGGATCCAATGAGATGATGTATATAAACCCCATAGCACCATATCTGGCACAGAGTAATCACTCAATAAATAGTAGCTTCTATGATTAACATTACTCTTATTTTTACTGTTGTTATTAACAATAGTATTGTCATAATTATATAATTATGATAGTATAATTATAATCACACTTCAAACAGTATTATAATAATAATTTCATAACTGTTAGCAATAGTATTCTAGTCCTGAATACCTGCACTAGAAGTTAGAAGTCCTGAGTTCTGCCACTTACTTGCTTTGTATCTTGGGCAATTTCCTTAATCACTCTGTGCCTTCATTCTCCCCACCTATGAATATTCCCTACAGTCTCTATCCCCCAGAGTTTTGATGAGGCAGTTGTTGTACCCAAAGTCATCCAGACTTGACGAAGGGGGAATAGTCAGAACCTCTTTCTGACTGTTGGCATGCTCAAGAGGATGGGGAATGTGAGCCTTATGAGCCTGGGTCAAGTAGCGCACAGAAGGAAGTCCTAATGGGGTGAGAGATGTTACATAGAAAAGCAAGCAGATAAAGCCTATTATGTATTAACTCTACCCAGAGAGTCAGCCATGTGTGGTGCAGCCTCTAGGGCTTCCTCATATCTTGCTTTCCTGAGTACCTTACTTATATATTTGCAATATAAATGAAAATCCAGACTGGAAAAGACTTAGTACAGTTTCAACAGAGAGACCCTAAAGGAGCACCTTTGTACAAACTAGGCAGAGATCATCAAGGCTGATTAGCAAAAACACATTTTAAGCTGTCAGGAATCAGGGCTGGCCCCGTGGCTTAGTAGTTAAGTGCGTGCACTCCGATGCTGGCGGCCTGGGTTCGGATCCCGGGCGCGCACCAACGCACCACTTCTCCGGGCATGCTGAGGCCGTGTCCCACATACAGCAACTAGAAGGATGTGCAACTATGACATACAACTACCTACTGGGGCTTTGGGGAAAAAATAAATAAATAAATAAAATTATTAAAAAAAAAAAAAGCTGTCAGGAATCAGCCACATAGCTAGCATCTATTAACAAACTATCTGAATTTGTAGCCTGCTAAGCTCTCAGAATGGACCTAAGGCTCAGTAACCCTCTGCCTACACTGAGCAAGTAGTAATTCATGGGAGAAACAAGTTACTTCATTTATGGTTATCAGCAAAATGCAGTTGTCCACCCTGGCACATTCATAGCAGTGTTCCAATGCATGGATGGAGAGGATTGCACTGCAACACAAGTGTTTCTGTGCCATATCTCAGTAGAGATTTTTAGAGCTCTAGCCTCTAGGGCTTAATTAGAACTGTCACCTTGTAAAGAGCTCTTAGCTAGTCAGAGCTGGTAGGACCCTCAGTCAAGCATTCGGTATACATCATGGATGGACAAAGAAGTTTGGTATATTAAAAGAGATCCTGGACTGCCATCCAGTGCTTCTCTTTCAAGACTCTTCTGGAAAGTTTTTTGTGACTACCTCGCCTCGCTTCCTTTAAGCACTCTTTGGGAGTACATCTCTTTGATAACACACATCTGCCCCACCAAACCAGGAGTTGCTTGAGAGCAGGCACCATGGGTAATTCATCTCTATCTCCTCAACCCTAAACACAATACCTGGCACATAGTAGGCCCCTAGGGTATGTGTGATGAGTGGAATTGCTCTGCCCAGCCTATGGCCCATGGCACTGCACCACATTTGCTCCCATCAGAGTGAATAATATTCTTTTCTTACAGTAACTATATTGTTATTATTATCAATAATATAGTTCTTGTTCTCTTCTCCAACATTAAGAACTGTCTATTCTGTACCTTAAAGAGTTATGTCCTAGGGATACAAAAATTAAAATATTTCAGACCACAGCATTCAAAATGAGCACTCACTCTCTCCAGGAGACAATCGGAATTAATCATACTTCATATACCTGTTGAGCTCAGACACCACCACAAGGGCAAGGCTTTTTGTTAATTAATTGTCAGTCAGGCTTAATCCTGTTTTACAAAGTACATTGCTGAATATGACCCAGTCCCCCATTCCTTCTTTACAACCCCTTTGTCCCAAACTTTTCTAACTTTCCAGCTCTGCTGCTCTACAACCACCTATATTCTCCACCTCTTCTCTGAATGCACATTCCTCTTTTGATCCTAACTGAAACCTGACTCTCCTATTGAGTATACTGTTTTGGTTCTCAAAAGGTGGTTGATCATTCAGAATCAAGAGCTCAAGAGGTAGGAGTCCATATTTTCCTTCATCTTTAGTACTCCTTACACAATTACACTATCATAGTCTTGTGGTAATCTGTGCTCCTGTGAGATTTCTACCATCTTGTGATACCCCTCTCTACCTCTTCTCACAGGTATCATCTACAGAATACTTTCATCACCCCAAAGGTTCCTCTGTGACCACTTCATCCCTTGTTTGGCCCTAGGTAACCACTGCTTTGCTTTCTTTCAGTATGAATTAGATTTTTCCCCCCAGAGTTTCATACTCATTTGTGTCTGGCTTCCTTCACTCAGCATAATGTTCTTGAGGTTCATTCATGTTGTTGCATCTATCTTTAGTTCATTCCTGTTAATTTCATAGTATTCCATTGTATTGATATAACATAATTTGTTTATCCATTCACCTATTAATGGACATCTGGGCTGTTTCCAATGTTCAACTATTATGAATAAAATTGCTACGAAGATTCACACACAAGTCTGTGCATGAGAATATGCTTTCATTTCTCTTGGTAAACACCTAGGGATGGAACTGCATGATTATATGGTAAGCACATGTTTAACTTTATATGAGACTGCCAAATGGTTTTCTAAAGTGGTTGTACCATTTAACATTCCCATGACGTATGAGAGTTTCAGTCTGCATTCATCTTTGAAAATTAAATATTAATTGGTACTTTTACATGTTTCCCTGACAATGAAAGTCCTTAGAATATTTTATCTCCAGGTATCCCCATCTCAACTTATATAGATTACATTATGGTCTAGTCTTTTATTCTAAATATATTGTATATCCAATAAGCCACTGTTATTATTTTATACATTCAATAGTCATGTATTTATATTTATTATTCTCATTCTTTTTAAATGCATCTTAAACATTCCTTCTGGGATAATTTTTCTTTGGCTTGAAGAACTCCCTTTAGTGAGGGTTTGACGATAATGAATTTTTAGTGGTTTTTTTGTTTTTGTTTTTCATCTGAAAATGTCTTTATTGTTTCTGTTGAAGTCAGCTGGTAGTCTGTTTATTATGACTTTAAAGGCAACATACTTTTTTTCCAGGATACTTTTAAGATCTTTATCTTTGTTTTTTGTTTTCAAAAGTTTCACTATAATGTGTCTCTGTTTGTGTCTCTTTTAATTTATCCTCCTTGAGTTCATAGGCCTTCTTGTAATTGTGCCTTTTGATCCTTCATCAGATTTGGACAAGGTTCAGCCATCATCACTTCAAAAATTTCTTCTGTACCATTCTCTCACTTCTCTCCTTCTAGGATTCCAATTACCTCTGTTAGACTTTCTCAATAAATCATATGCTATTTCTCTCTCTTAATGCATTTTATACATTTTTGTCTTTCTGCACCTCATTCTAGATATTTTCTTCTAGTACAGGGGCTTCCCCTTCTCCCTTCAACTGTTTCTAGACCAGTGAGTTTTTATCTACATTTTCCAATTTTAGAATTTCCAAAATGCTTGCTCTTTCATGTATGCTCTCTATTTCAATCCCCACACACCGTTTATATGATGGAATTTTTATGTTTCTTTCATCTACTTAAACATATTCATCATAGCTATATGAAAGTTTGATAAATCAAATATCTGGAGTCCCAGTAGGTCTGTATTTTTTAATTGGGTTATAATTTATGTACAATAAAATAAAAAGTTTGTACATTTCAAAGTGTTTGGGCAAATGTATATAAGTGTATAAATAATACCCCAATCAAGATATAGAATATTCTACCACATCAGCAAGTTCCCTTATGCCCATTTTCAGTCAATCCACCACCCCCAGAAGAAAGCATTGCTTTGGTCTCTAACACCATAAGCTTAGTTTTGCCTGTTTTGGAATTTTATATAAATAAAATCGTATATTATGTACTATTTTGTGTCTGGCTTCTTAGCTTGACAAAATGTTTGAGATTCATCCATGTTGTTATGTGAATCAATAGTTATTAATTCACTGTATGAATATGCCACAGTATATTCACCTCTTCACTTGTTGATGTACATTTGGATGTTTTCCAGTTTGGGGCTTTTATGAATAAAGCTGTTACGAACCTTCTTATAAAAGCCTTTTATGGATATATATTTTCATTTCACTGGGGTATATACCTAGGAGTGAAATACCTAGATTTTAGGATAAATGTATTTTTAACTTTATAAGAAATAGACAAACTGTTTTCCCAAGTGGTTGTACCATTTTACATCCTCACCAGCAGTGTAATGAGAGTACCAATTGCTCCTCAACCTCACAAATATTTAGAATTGGCGGTGTTTTTAATTTTAGCCATTCTAGTGTTTATAAAGTGATGTCTCCATGTGGTTTTAATTTGCATTTCCCTGATATAAAATGATGTTAAGTATCTTTTCATGTGCTTATGGGCACTTATATATATTTTTGTTAAAATGTCTGTTCATGTCTATTTTCAGTTTTTTAAATTGGATTCTTTATATTTTTATTATTGAATTTTAAGAGTTCTTTATATTTTTGGAATAGATGCTTATTCATATTTGTACATTTATAAAATATATTCTCCCTGTCTGTGGCTTGCCTTTTCATTTTCTTAATGTTATCCTCTGAAAGGAGAAATTTTTAATTTTGATGAGGACCTATCTATTCCTTTTTCTTCACTGTTATTACTTTTTTCTGTGCACTAAGGAATTTCTGCCTTCCAAATGTTGCAAAGATATTGTCTTAGATTTAGTTCTAAGAGCATCATATTTTTAGCTTTTATATTTAAGATCATGACTAATCTCAAATTAATTCTCTGTAATGCCATCTCTGTCATAAATCAAGTTTTCATATATGTAGGTCTACTTTTACTCTCTCTATAGGGTTTCATTTATTTTTTTTCCCCTTTTCCTTATGCCAATAACACACTGTCTTAATTACTATGGCTTTTTAATGATTTTTGACATCTTACGGGGCAAGTGTCTCCATTTTGTTCTTTTTTAGAAGGATATTGGCTATTCTTGGATGTTAGGTTTCAGAAAAATTTTGCAATCACTTTTTAAATTAATGTTTTATCTTGGAGGTTCTCATATCAATGCAGTTAGTGTAAATGTTATCTCTAAACTCACCTGAGGCCAAGTTTGAATTAAAAATAAATTCCTAAGGAATCCTATATTTTACACAAAGCCCAGGCCAAAATAGCATGCTTCCTTATTGTCTCCCTGCACCGATTACTGTATTTTTCTAGTGCTCTTTTGCATTGAGGGCATAACCCTTCGATGGTATTGGATCGATGGGATGAATGCTTATATTTGTTTCCTATGGCTTATGTAACAAATTACCTCAAATTTAGTGGCTTAAAACAACATAAATATATTCTCTTACAGTTCTGGAGGCCAGAAGTGTGAAGTCAGTTTTGCTGGGCTAAAGTCAGATTTACTGGGTGTCAGCAGAGCTTCACTCCCTCTGGAGGCTCTAGAGGGAGAATCCACGGCGTTTTCCAGCTTCCAGAGCTGCATTACTTGACTTTGGGCCCTTTCCTCCTCTTTCAAAGCCAACAGCATAGCATTTTCAAATCTCTCCTGCTTTTTTCATCACATTGCCTTCTGCTCTGTAGTAAAATCTCCCTCTGCCTCATCTTATAAAGACACTTGTGATTGCATTTAGAGCCCATCCAGATAATCCAGGATAATCTCCCCATCTCAAGATCCCTAACTTAGGGGTCAGCCCAGCAGTGTAGTGGTTAAGATTCGCATGCTCCACTTTAGTGGCCTGGGGTTCCTAGGTTTGGATCCCAGGTGCAGACCTACACCACTCATCAAGCCACGCTGTGGCAGCAACCCACGTACAAAATAGAGAAAGATGGGCACAGATGGTAGCTCAGGGCCAATCTTCCTTACCAAAAAAAAAAAAAGATGCTTAACTTAGTTCACATCTGCAAAGTCCCTTTTGCTATATAATGTAACATTCACAGGTTCCAGGGATTAGGCCATGGATATCTTTGGGGGCCATTATTCAGCCTACCACAATCCTAGTTCCAACACTTAACTTCACTTAGGCCCAAAGCCTTTCTGTGTAACCTTAAAACTCAAACTCATATTTACCAAGACTAGTCATCCACCCATCTTCCTGCTACAACAGTAGCAGCTCACATGATTAACGCTTCAGTTTTCAGTTCCTTCTTCCCTTTGGATCTCTCAGTATCTCCTTTAATTTTTTATGAGTTCAGATATTAAAAAAGAATGTTTTCTATGTCTCATCTAGCTTTTCTAGGATTTTGTAGAAGAAGAAGTTTTTAGGGTATCTAGTTTATTATATTTCCAAAAAAGGGCATCTTTCACTTACTTCTATATAGATTCTGCTCCCTCCACTTCACTAGGACTGTTCTTTTCAAGATCACTAACAACCAAGCATATCACCATACTCAATAGACAGTTTCTATCTGCATCTTACCTCGGCACACACTCTAGTTTTTTCTTTGTTCCTACTTTACAAATTACTCTTTCTCCACTGCTGTCTCCTCCTGTACCTGACCTAAAATGCTGCTTGTTTTCGAAACATCATTTACTATTTAACTACACAGTGTAGCTTCAGGATATTGGTAGGAAACATTGGCCTTCTGTGTGGGTACTCAGCACATTCAAGTATATGCTTCACAGCCACCATTGCCGTGGAGGCAGTTGAAGTTAATTAATATTTATCTCCTAAAAAGTCTTACAGTGGAAAAAACAGGCAGAAAATGTTTTATACGCTTTATATCTCAGTCTCTGCTTTAAGTCTTTAAGTCTCTCAGGGAAAAGTGCTAATGATATGCAAATCTTTTCTAGATATCAGTCAATTCACATTGAGGAAAATTTCTCTGATTGTAGGTACTACTGAAAAATTCTTTGAACTTTGTGTGTGTAGCTTTTACTGAATATCAGATAATTCATACTTCCAAAAAGGCTAGAGGAGAAGCAGCAAAGTCAGATGCTCACACAAAAAAACGGGTCATAAAAAAGCCCTAATCCACTTCTCTGTTGTCAGCTTAGTTTCTCACCCTTCACTTTCTCTAGCTCTGCCCTCTAATTCCCTCTTTTTCACTGAAGACTCAGTTCTTCCCCAGCTCCTGGAGCAAACCTGACTGAGACAGGAAGCATCTCAGTAACCTTATTATTCCAACTCTCTTCTCATTCCCACATCCTTGTTAAGAATTCATTAGGCTGAAACACCAGGATCCAATGACTCAGTTACTAATGCTTGGCTCAGGCGTTGCTCCCATTATCTCCATTACTGATTCTTCTACCCTCCTGTACTCTGACTGCCCATCATAAGACTCTGCAAATGTCTCCCCCCGCCATTATCCATAAAACAACACTCACCAAAGACCGTGCGGGCAGGGACAGACTCTCTGTTGAGCCAGAAAGACACTTGTGACAGAATGACAGTCATGATACATGGCAAGTAGGTCTGGATCACAAAGTAGCCAATTTTTCGCTTGAGATGGAAATGGGTTGTCATGACGACATATTCTCCTGGAGAGAGAGTAAAATTAGGCAGTATATAGCTGAATAAACATTGTTCAATCAAGGTGGGCCCCAATTCAGCTCACAAACTCCTTGACCTTATATTCAAAACAAGACGTCCCAGCACCTCCCACGTCCACATAACCAAATCTCTTTAATAACTATGAAGTACCTGTAGTGTGTTTTTTCATGTGTGTGAAAATATATGCTAGCAGTGTACCAACACAGCTTGCTCAGAGCAATTTTGATACAAGTTCATTCAAATAAATTAGTGTCCTCATTTAAATAATAATAAGAAATAATCTCTTCTACAGCATTTGCTATGTGATTGGCACTCTTCTAGCACTTTAACAATCTTAAAATATTTAATCTTCACAACAACCCTATGAGGTCAGTACTAGTGTTATCTTCATTTTATAGGTCAATACACTGAGGCAAAGAGAGATTGAGCAGCTTGCACAAAGTTACCCAGCTAGTAAGCAGTGGAGCCCGAATTCAGGCCCACATGGGTTGGCTCCACAGCTTATGCTTTGTAAACACTGTGCTCTGCTGTTCAAAATGGACGTATTGGGTTAGAACCCAAAGTTCACAGAGCAGAGTGTGTGCTGGCCTCCATCCCTCCACTCCAAAATAAGAGTGAACACTGATTGAGCTCTTACTATGTGCCAAACAACTTGGAGTGCTTTGGGAGTATTAACTTTACACCCTTCCACCAACCCTGTAAGGTGGGTACTAATTATTACCAATGTTGTTAAAACCAATAGTTAATTATCAGTACTACTGCATTTGTCAGTGCATTTTACCCAGTTAAGCACTCCATCCTCCTGGAATGACTCTCTTCACCGAAATTCTAGGCCACACTGCTCTTCTGGTTTCCCTCCTACCTGATTACCTCTCTAGTCTCCTTTGCTGGTTCCTTTAAATGTCTAAACATTTGAGGATGTCAGGACTCAGTGCTTGTACTGTCTTCTGTCTCACTTACTCCCTTGGCATTCTCATCAAGCCTGTGTCTTTGAATAATAGCATAGACTCTGATAACTCCCCAATGTATATCTTCTGCCTGGGCTTCCTACTTGTTACGCCTCGAATTGTATCTCCCAGAAAGACATGGTGAAGCCCTAACCCTCAGTACCTCAGAATGTGACCTTCCTTAGAAATAGGGTTGCTGCAGATATAATTAGTTAAGATGAGGCCATTTGGAGCAGGATGAGCCCTAACCCACTATGACTGATGCTCTTATAAAAAGAAGATAGACACACACAGGGAGATGTGTGATCATATGTGTTAATGGAGGTAGAGATTAAAGTAATGCATCCACAAACCAGGGAATGCCAAGGGCTGCCAGCAGCCACCAGAAACTAGGAGAGAGAGGCACAAAACAGATTCTCCTTCAGAAGCTCCAAAAGGAACCAACTCTGCCAACACCTTGGTTTCAGACTTCTGGCCTCCAGAACTGGGAGATAATAAATTTCTGTTGTTTTAAGCTGTGCAGTCTGTGGTATTTTGATACAGCACACCTAGGGTTCCCTACACTACTCTAGACCTATATATTCAATTACCTGTTAGACATCACACTTGGGGATCTAATAGGTATATTGACCCAAAATGTCCAAATCTTAGCTTTTACTCTCCCCATTTCCTACCCCCTCCAAACTGGCTCCTCCAACAGATTTTCCCATTTCAGTAAATGGTAGCTCTCAGGAGCACAGGCCAAAATCAAATTCTTCAAAATCCTTAGGATCATCATTCACTTGTCTCTCTCCCTGCCTCCCTCATGCATGCCTCCATGTGCACGTGCACACACACACACACACACACACACACACACACGCACAATCAATCAGCAAACCTTCACAGTTCTTTCTTTAAAATATATCCATAGTTTGACCACTTCTCACCACCTCCACTGCTGCCACTCTGGTCTAAGCCACCATCATCTCTATCCATAGGACTGGAAAGCTTTCTAACTGGTCTTGCTTCTGTACTTATCCCCTTCAATGCATTCTTAGCACAGCAGCCAAAATGATCCTATTAAAACATAAGTCAGAGTTGGTCTCTCTTTAGCTGAAGACTCTCCAATGGTTTCCCATTTCTCAGAGTAAAAGCCCAATTCCCCAAAACAGGCTCCAAAGACCCATGCAATCTGACTCCTCTACTACCTTTCTTATCAGAGTTTCTTATTTTTCACCTCTGTCTCTCCACCCACATTTGATTTTGGCAGGTCTCCCAAATGAGGCAATTTCCCACTTTCCTACCCCACCCACTCCCTGTACCTAAGCCTAGAAAGCGCCATCTGGTCATCCCAAGCTCACTGTACAATCTATATTATGTGTGTAATCACATTCTAACTTGTTTATGTGAACATGAAAAATACAAGTAGGCTTATTTTTAAGTTAGCAAAGAATTCTCATACAAAATTATGAAATGTGTTCTTCATTATAACTTTGGAGTTTCTCTCTTTTCTTTCTCTCTGCTTCTTTTTCAATCCTTTTATTCCTGTTTTTTCCCTATCCCCTCCCACTCTGTCCCCCTCCCCCTCTCTCCTTTCTGTGTCCATTTCTACTCCTTTCTCTCTCTGTCCTTCCTTTCACTCTCTCTCTCTGTCTCCACTGAGAAGGCACTGTGGGTTTATTTTTAACGAGAGTTAGACTTTGATTAGCTTGGGCAATTTCCCCCCTTCCCCATCTTAGTTTCATACCCCCAACCTTTTGTCTATTAATCCTATATCTGATCATGTGAAATATTTAATATATAAAATATATAATAAGTATTCATAAATTAGTTATATTCTGCAGATCTGAAATGCAAAGCAAGTGGACTTCTCAAAAGCTTATCAAATTAGTCATTTGTTTTAAATAACTGAATATATTTTCTTCATTTCTATCCTTTTCTATCCTTCTTTCCTTCAATTTCTATCTCGCTGTCTTTTCCAAAGAGCAAAGAGAAGAAGAATAGGATGTCCCAGGCTCTAGTACTCTGTCACAAAAGTGTGGATTAACAACTATCCACGGACAAAAATGCCTTTGGGAAAATCCCAGAACCAGAGAGTAAGGCTGAAACACCATCTTGGAGCAACAAAATCAAGAAAAGCCACATTTAAAAAGGATAAGAGAAATGGTTTCAGTTTGCTGCTTTCTTCCCTCCCCCTCGCCAGCTCGGTGCAGTACCTAGAGGGTTCCTCCGGGTCTATGGTTTCTCTAGTGAGAAAAGGAGAGCCCAAGGCAGATATCCAGCTTTCCCAGCATTTGGGGCATTACCCTGTACCAGGCTCACTTCTGTCTTGCCTCATGAGGGACACTGGGGGAAGTTCCTAGCTCACCCTAAGTAGACCACTTAGGGTGAGCTAGGAACAAAGAAGCGGGGTGGAACTTACAGCCACTAGTGTGTGGATCCTCACAGTCGTACCAGGTTCCTGCCAGCAACCCTGCTTGATCGGAGAGTCCAGCCAGCTGTCTGGCCTTTCCTGCACGGGAAACTCAACCTCTGAGAGCAGCCTATAGCTCTGGCGAATAGATGAGTACGGGCAGAGGCCCCGCCCAACAGCGGAGCTCAGCCAACAGCAGAACTCCAGCAGAGGCCTCGCCGAAAGGCGGTTGGCCAGTCAAAAAGGTGACACCCTCTAACGTCGTGGCGCACCCCCCCCACCACCACCAAAACGGCGACTGCCGAGGGTCAAAATCCGCTGCCTGCGCTGCCAGAGGGTCTCCGAGTCCTTCGCCCGCCCAAAACGGCGACTTCAGGGGGTCAAAACCTGCTGGCTTCAATGTCCTGGCTTACCAGAACCGCCCACCACAGGGGGTCAAAACCCATCAGCCCCAAACAGTAGAGCATGCCAGCTAGTTTCGGGGGGAGGGTGCCCAACGGCTGCAAGCCGCTAGTCCCCCATCTAACAGAGGCCCCCTGTTGCCCTGCTGAACAGTGGAACAAGGCCCACGGAATCACGAAAAAATAGAAAATCTGAACAGATCAACATCATGTAAGGAGATATAGTCAGTAATACCACAAACAAACAAACAAAAAATCCCTGGACAAAATGCCATCACGGGTGAATGCCACCAAACATTTAAAGAAGAATGAATACTAATCCTCCTAAAGGTTAGTCATATGAAAACAACATACATATATATGAGGTAATATTTGTATGGTTCCTAAATCAAAGGGAATCAAAGGTCTACAGCAAAAAGTCTCTCTCCCAGAGCTGCCCCCAAACCACCCATCTTATTTCTCCTACCTTTAATTACAATTAAGAGCTTCTTGTGTATCTTTCTAGAAATATTATCCGTATACAATATATATCCCTATACTGTTCAGTGTTCTGTGCTTTGCTTTTATCCCTCAACAATATATCCTGCAGATATTCCCATTGAACAGTAAATAAAGAACTTTCTCATCTCATTCCTTCTAATAGCTGGATACTATTGAATTGTGTGAATGAACTTTAATATATTAAATCACCTATTTACTGATGTACCTTTTATCAATGTACATTATTTTCAAAACTAATATGCAATGGCCCCGGGAATTCTTTCCCTTCTGCCGGCCAGCCAGGCGGACACCGCAGGGGCCAGGCGGACGCCTTGGGCCTATAGGGATCTGCCGTGCCGCGCTGTGCCGCGCTGTGCGTTGCCGCGCCCAGGCACACACGGCCTCCTCCAGGAGCCTCCGTGCTCTTTGCCCGCAAGCTTAGGGTGGGAGGGAGAGCAGGCAGTGCGTTTCGGGTCTGATCTCAGACAGGAGGTCATAGCAGCAGCTGCCTCGGCAGCATGATGCAGGCAGAAGCACCCCCGGGAGCAGGAGGCCGGCTTCTGCTCTAAAACGCAAGGGGCACAGTACAGACAGAAGGCTGTACTTTGCACACGTGGGCACTGAAGGCCCCGCTCCCTCCCCCTGCTTGGGGAGAGCAGAACTCGGGCCAGGTGGGGAAGATTTCCCCACACACAGCCGGCCTGGCTGACTGTAGCCTCGGCCCTGACCTTCCATGGGGCCCCGGGACGTGGGTTGCCAGCAGGACACCAAGGCCACCGCCCAGTCCAGGTGTCAGGATGCACAAGCCTGGCAGCAGGTCTGCAACCCATGGGCAGTAAGTATACCATTGTTCCTGCTTCATCGGGAGCACAGCAAACCCTCCGGAGCCCAGGAGGCCAGGCAACTACTGGTCCCAGGCCAGACATCCAACACCTCCAGAGGGTGGCCGGCACAGCCGGAATCTGAGCCCTGGCCGTGCAGTAGTCCTGCTGACCCCACACACGACACCATGTGAGTGCTCTTCGGAGCAAAGGGCAGTCCAGGTGGCCCAGGCACACCACCACCAGCACCTGTCTGCTTCCTCCAAAGCTGGGCAGTTGGCCCCACCAGCTGACTCGCACCGGCTGGACTCCCGGACTCCGGCCAGCCATACACACAGTGCCTGCCTGGCTGCTACCATCCAGCCACTACCGACTCCAAGCACCGACCACAGAATCCCCTCCGAGGAGGGAAGTCCACACCCCTGTGGCCCCAGACTCTCTATACCCTCCACCTCTTACTATGAACCACTTGCAGCTTTTCCAACAGATCATGTTCTCACATACCTCTGGCCTCTTTACACCCCAGTATTGCCTTTCTCAAGAATAGCCTTTCCCCATACCAAATTCCGAATTTCTAAATCTTGTTGTCCTTTAAGTCTATTTCAAATGCTGCTTTTTTAAGGTACCTTTCCTGGTCCTGAGGTGGAGGGAGAACAGGGCACACACAAGATGACATACTGTAACATCACAAGGAGAGGGAACAGCAGTGTCCAGATAATGAAATAAAAAGATAAGAGTACCCTACTTAATTTATAGTTGTGGATTCAGAGATTTTTCACAGAGACAAGTGTTGAAAGTTCCCATCCTTTCAAGGCAAAAAATATCGTAAGATATGTGGGCCCCAAGATTTACTCCATTTTGCCAAATACTCTAAGGTTAGTTGGGATTCAGGGTGCCTCCTTCCTCAGGCCCCTGCAACTGGTAAGTTTCCAAATAGACAGGACTTAAGGCTACAGAACAAGTCTCTAAGTTCCACTTATCAATATCCAAGGATTAGCCATTGAGAGGACCTGGCAAGGTTTGTCAGACAGACTTGTTTCTCAGATGGGTGATTCACTAAGAAAATAATTCCATGGCTTATCCCTGGCCTCTCCCGGGGCAATTAACTTACCACCTCAGCATTGGCTGAGATAAGCAAATGTATTCATGAAACCTTTGGAATCAAAGTTCAGCTCTCCTACCATCATGGCTTCCCTCTGCCTTCTCTTCTACTACAGTCTAGCCCTAATGCCCTTGACCTTCTACCCCACTGCCCAAGAGACAGCAGAGAATTGTGATTAAAAGCACGGGCTTGGGAAACAATCTGCCTGGGTTCAGATCTTAGCTCTGACATTATATAACTGTCATGGAGCAAATTACTGAAAATCTCTATGCCTTAGTTTCCTTATGATGATAGCATGTACATCACAAGATTGTTTTGAGGATTACATATGTTATTATAAATACTTGGAACAGTGACTGATATGTGGTACAGGTAATAAAAAACGCTTGTTAAATAAAATAAATAAATACCTGTACTAGACCGGATTATCTCTGTCCCAACAACATGGCCCAGGAGGTCATACTGATTCAGGCGAGAGCCATCCTGTGCCACTTCCACAGATTTGTTCTTTCCAAGAGTCCAAGAATAAACCACTTCAGCGGTTGTATAGGCATCTGAGGCAGAAAAGGGTCAAGAAGGAGAAATTGAAGGGAAAGGAAAATGATTATCCTTGATACTAAACTTGCATGATACTGAAATACAACTTCCATCCCAAAAGAGTTCTGGGTATATCTGTCTTCAACTGAGGTACAATTATCCATCCATCTAATAAACACTCATTGAATAACTACTATAGTTTATGCTGGGTATACAGAAATGAACCCAAAGTGCTCTCTTCCTTCAATGACTCATAGTCTTCCAGACTGCCAATAAATTGTTAAACTTTTCCTTCTCTTGGAGGGTAGGGAGTAGGGGCAAGGGAGGAATGGCTACAATATTATCTAGTGCAGATGTCACAAATTCAAATGTCTATGAGAGCTAGAGAGATATCTTAAATGAGTAAATCATGCTCTTGTAGGCATTTGAATGAAGAATCTAAAAATAGCAAAAAATAATGATTACAATTTTCTTTTGAAACTTATTACCATTTTGATTTGCAAACCAAAAACCTGCCACCTTTTCTTCTGCATGAGGGTCTTAATGGCAGGTTTTGTATTTGGAATTCCAATGTCTAGTAAAGAATTTAATACAGATTAGTTTTAACAGGGCTCGTGGGTAAGGGAAATGGTGAGAGAATGAGGAGTGAGGTTATTTGGTTTCAGTTGGTATCTTAAAGCAAGAGAGTTGCTTTCTTTCCAGACATGGATTGACTCTTTGCACAGTGGGTTTTATATTTGGGGTGAGCACCTTGCCCTAACTCAGGCACCCAGGCTCATAAAGGGAAGCTGACCACCATACTGTTCGCCCATTTCATCTACGGTTTGAGCTGTCTGTTGTTCACGTCAGTGTGGGGTCTCCAGCTCATGGTGGCAGCTACTATGTCCATAATATGCTCTATTTAGACCTTTTACCACAAAGCAAATACTTCCTAGTAAATATACCAAAAAACAAACATAAATTCTGTGTCCCTACAAAACATTGCAGTGTTGGATATACATTTCATGACAGTCTGACATTAACACTTACATGTAAATTGCGATCTGCTTATATTATACTTCTTAGGACTTTTTTCAATATACCTAAGTAAATCACTTCCTGATTTGCTTGTAATGGGCAATATGCCAAAAAGGTCTTCATTCACATCAAAATTCTCATTGAAATCATGAAAAAATATACATAACTCCATGCTATTTTTTTATATCTGTGCTCTCATAAGCTACAAAAGAAAATGCCACAAGAAATCTAACTTTTCCACATAATATGCCCTATATATAGTCTCAGTCATTTCTTCAACATACCGACAAAAATACTTCTAGATTAATATATAATTTCTGCTGAAATTAATAGACATTTTAATAAATTTGGCATCTGTAAAATATTTTGATGCCTGGGAAGTTTTGTTGCTTAATACATAACTGCATTTCCTAGCAGCAACACTTCGTGTATGCATTCAAACACAAAACCTGTTGAACTTTCAGTTTGTTTTTTAAAGTTAATTAAGATTTTCATTGTACATCTCTTTTATATATCAATTATAGTTCTTTATAATGGATTGCATAATGTTGATACCGGAAGTTTTATTTTTTTCAACAAAGGCATACTTTGTATGCATAGTAAAGATGTAGAAATAGTCTTCATTTCTATAAGGAAATGCAAACACTCACATCTTTATTGAAACACAGTCCTCTCAATCTATCTTTTATTTTTTTATTTTTATTTTTATTTTTTTGGTGAGGAAGATTAGCCCCGAGCTAACATCTGTTGCCAATCCTCCTCTTTTTGCTGAGGAAGATTGGCCCTGGGTTAACATCTGTGCCCATCTTCCTCTACTTTATATGTGGGATGCCTGCCACAGCATGGCTTAATAAGTGGTGTGTAGGTCCGCACCTGGATCCAAACCTGCGCACCCTGGGCTGCCGAAACAGAGTCTGCAAACTTAACCACCACACCACCGGGCCAGACCCTATTTTTTAAAATATTGATAGCTGTGGGTACAAGAACTATGTCACTTTCTTCTTAATTCTACTGGGAGCACTTAATTCTACTATATGTAAAACAAGATGCAAGTGAGTTGATTAATGGCAACTGACATCGGACCCTGTTTTCAGAAAGAGAGTAGAAAGTGATGCAGACTTGGGGGAATGGGCAAGCATGTGCACGTCTACAAGGGAGAGCCACTACTCAGCCCCAGCTGATTGTGGCCATGTGGGAATTTGAGCCCAATGTTGTCAGATCTTCTGATTTCATAAAATACAAACAATCTGGAATTTTATGTAACATCTCCTAAATTTCAAATCTTGGCAAATAATTTAAAAAGGTGTAAACTGTATGGATCAAACAAATCATATCTGCAAACCACCAATTTGCAGCCTCTGGTATAGAGACTTTCTCCTACAGATGGCTATGGTCTTTTGTGATTCAGCCTTGGAAACAAAGCCTCCTCTCCTGCCTATGGGGTATCCAAGGGCTCCCAAGTGGAATTGCAGATCTTTATACTACTATCACCAAAAAGAATGGAAAATCCTCTCCTCAGGTGAAAGATTTTCCTCACACCCTTACCTAAAATTTATTCCATTAAGTGAGGACTGTCACAGGGCTATTAGTGAAATGTGATTTCACAAGGCCCTTGTCTTCTCATTTCCCCCAGTACCTTCCATCCTTAGTATATATGCTTGGGGTCCCACTACTCTTAAGCAGAGAATCACTTGTATATGTCTTATTATCTTTAAGATATCTAATAAGATATCTTTTATCTTATTATCTTTGCTGTTCAGGTGGTTGTAACTCCCTGTGTTTAAAGGACAACACAATGTTCTGCTTAAAATACCCAATAGTTTGACAACGTAAAAACTAGAACAGGTCTGTTCATGAAAGGGTTCAGGATGGAAGATAGTTTCCACCCCTAGGAAAGAAAAGGAATTTCTTGCTGAATCTCTTGCTGAGTACTTTGAGCATACAATCTTGAATATTAGCCCTAAATTCCTAGCATGTTCTAGTACAGATGTGATAGTAAATTGTACAGCTACCAGTACCTTAGACACTTCACTGGGCCCAGAGTGGCAACTTGCTTTATGCAAAAAATCAATGGTTTCATTTCTTTGACAATAATATATGGGAACAGAGGGATTTATGGAAGAAAAAATATTCTCATATGACAGACGTCAAAGAAAGAAAGGCATAAACTAATAAAGGAAGAGAAGGAAGAGGGAGAAATAAATTCAAAAAACAAATTGAAAACTACTTGACTGTCTGCTCACAGCCTGACCCTGTACTGGTAAACAAAAGTTAATAAAGCACAGTAACCACCATCAGGGTGCCCACAATCTATTGGGGGAGACAGAGGGTGCACAATAGTTATAGTACAAGCCTGAATGCGAGAAGTATGCACAGTAGTGGAACAAAGATAAGTGTTAAGTGAAACCAGAGTGGGGCACTATTGCTTCTGCCCAGAGTGGACTGCTAGAGGATTCATAAAGTTGGTGGTACTCAGAAGATGCAGCCACCTTTAGTAGGTGAAAGAAGGACATTCCTAGCAAAAGAACAACACAGTGTGGGAGATCAAAATTGGCCACCCTGCACTATGTCTCCTTACTTTGATTATTTTCTCTAACGGACATTTGACCTCCCCCACCAACTTCCTAAAGAAATTTAACTCTGGGTATGGATAGACTGGCAGGGTCCTCGCTAAGCCCATTCTTATCAAAGTTCTGTTTACCAAACATTTACATTTGTAAAGGTATCTCCCTCCGTGCACTTAAAGATAGTGTATTTTTCCTTTTATACGTTGCTTAATTCAGTTTGCTAGTATTTTGTTGAAGATTTTTGCATCCATATTCATAAGGAATACCTGTCTGTGGTTTCCTTTTCTTGTGATCTTTGGTTTTGGTATCAGACTAACACTGACCTGATTGAATGAGCTAAGAAATGTTACCTCTTTGTCTATATTTTGCAAGACTAAAGCAATTGATCACTTTATATTTGTGTGTGTGTGCTTGGGAAAGCCTGTTTTATAAGGTGCCTGTTCAACACTTTAGCCTTTTTTTCCATTGAGGTTTCTGACTACTACTTATCGATTTGTATGGGGATCTTAATAATTACGGATTTGAGTCATTTGTCATGTATATGCAATGCAAATATTTTCTCCCACCCTGTGGCTTGCCTCTTCTCCATTGTCTTTTGATAAAGAGAATTTCTTAATTTTTAATATATTCCAAGTCATCCTGTTTTGCCATTGTGGTTAGTGCTATTCTATAGCCTGTTTAAGTAATCTCTATCTCTTCCAAGATCATGAATGTATTCTCTTATGTTTTCCTCTAAAAGCTTTATTGTTTCACCTTTCAACATTTCACATTTATATCTGTAATCCATCTGGAATTTATTTTTATGTATGATGAGAGATAAAAGTCAAGATCTCTCTCTCTCTCTATCTCTGTTTTTGGACTTTCTGTTATGTCTCATTAGTCTATTTGTCTATCTTTGCAACAATAATACCTATAGCTTTAAAATATACCTAAAGCTTTAAAACTTTAAAATAGGTCTTGATATCTGGTATTAGAATTGATTTGATTGTAAATTCTCTAGCTATATTATTCTTCTTCAAGATTGTCTTAGCTATTTTTGGCACTTTAGTATTTCTATATAAACTTTAGAATCAGTGTTGTTTTCCCTTGTATTTATCCTGCTTAGTGTTTACCAACTTCTTGAATCTTTACATTGATAACTTTCATCAGTTTTAAAAATGATTAGACTTTAGCTATTTAATTATTGCTTTTGCTCCTTTGTCTTCCTGTTTTTCTTCTGCAAAATTATACAATACAATTTATTTTACTGTATCCCACATGTTTCTTACTCTTTTCTGTATTTATGTCTCTCTGTACTTCAGCTTTGCTATTTTCTGTTTACCTATTTTTAAATTCTCTAATCCTATCTTCTGCTTGTTAAAATCTATCCACTTAATTCTGAATTTTGGATATGTGCTTTTCCATAAGTAATTTCCAATTTATTCTTCTCACGGATTCCAATTTTCTTTTGAAATTCCCTATCTTTTATGTATTTTATTCATCTTTTCCTCTTTTTTCTTGAACATATTAACCATAGTTTTTAAAAGTCCTTGTCTACAAACTCTGATATCTGGATCACCCAGAGGTCTGTTTCCATATGGTGTTTTTTTGTTTTTAAATCTTGGTTTTAGGTCATATGGTCCTGTCTATTGGTATGCCTAATGATTTTGTATTGGATTCCAGAGGTTGTGTAATAAAACTGTAGAGTTTTCAGATGATGTTAACTTCCACCAGAGAGGCTTTATTCTTTTCTTTGCTAGGTAGACAGTGTGGGAGAATTATCACCTTAATCCCATAAGGGACTGAGCTGGGTTATAGTTTTGGTTAAACCTGGTCTGTCTCTGCTGTTCCCTTTTAACTAGGACATAGCTTCTCTAGGGTTTTAAACAGATAGCCTGGCATGTCTTCTTTTTTATAGCATTGGGAGACTGAAGGAAAGCTGGCTCTACTTTTCAAAGGTTTTCATATTAGGTTTTAGTCTTATGGTTTGTGCAAATTCAAAATTCAGCAACTGTCTTGAGAGAGGTATCAGCTAAGAGTTTGAAACCTTCAAGATCTCTATTTTTATCACTTCAGCTCTATGTGACCATCAAAACTCTTGCTTTATTTTTTTCTATCATCCAGCAGCAGCCTTATACCTGGGGCCAAACTTAAATTCCAACCTGCAATTCAAGGCAAGAATTGGCAAGTACCACCAAGAATGAAGAAGCTGCAGGCCACAAATTCATCTATGAGAGGTAACCCTTTCTCCAGAATTTTAGTGTCTTCAGTCCTTGTTGCTTCTACAGTTCTAGGTTTTCTAATTGTTCATGAGGGGAGCACTGTTCACCCACAAACAACTCTGTCTTACCCAGAATGGAAGTAATATTCATCTAATTTGATAGTAAATCCAGTAGGACAAAAATCTACAAGTCACCCTGAGTTCTCTCTTTTTATAATATTACACATATAACTTCTTGGAAGATCCTTTCGGATCATCCTTCACAATATATCCAGAATCAAGCTACTTCTCACCACTTTTGCCAATATCACTGATCTGAACCATTATCATCTCTCATCTGAAATACTGCAATAACCTCTTAACTGCACTCCCTGCTTCTACCTTTCCCATACTTATATTTTTAACAGAGTGTCTATAATGATTCTTTTAAAATAATGTAATTATTTTATTCTAAAATTGCAGTCACTCCCCATTTTCCTTCAAGATAAAATTCAAAGCCCTTTAATGTCCTACAAGACTCTAGATGACCTGGCCCCCTGTTTGATCTCATCCTCTCCTAGTGCTTTCCCCTTTACTCACTCTGTCTAGCCATACTAGCCACTTTGATGTTCCTTGAACAAGCCAGACACTTTTCTACCTCAGGATCTTGTCCCTGGCTGTTCCCTCTACCTGGAGCACGATTTCCTCAGATATCTTCATTGTTAAACCTTTTACCTCCTTAAAATTTCTGCTCAAATGTCACTTTTTCCAAGAGGCCTTGATCACCCTATTTTACATTTCAATGGCAACACCTATCCTCCACCTAGACATGACTGATCCCTCTTATCCTTTTATGTATTCCCATGGTGCTTCTCACTTTACATTCTTTATACTTTATTTTTTAATCCATTGTTTCTTTTATCTTTCACCATCACTTTCTCCTCTATAAGTTCCATAAGTGCAAGGTCTTTGTTTTATTTATGGATGCATTCCAAGCTCCTAGAATACAGCCTAGCACATAGGAGACAATCTGTAAGTACTTGACAGAGATTGAAAAAATATGTAACATGTAGTTTTGTGTCTTTTTAAATGCACTTTCTACTTAAAAATACAGAGCTAAATCTAATTTAGAGATGATCATCACAGACCTTGATATATTGCTCTGATGCCTCCCTATATGAAACTTACTCTGAAATTCTTAGAGTCAGAAACTCACCAAATTCTGTTCAATTTTGATTTTTCTAATTCATTTGAAAATGGGCTATGTATCTACTCATTTTGTCAGATTTAGAGCTACTGGAAAAGGCAATACTCTCTAAAAATGAGAAAATCTCCAGAATCTCTTGTTGTCTACCATTTACTGTAGAGAATTGGATAGAAGTATATGAGGATGCAGGCAGAATAGGCATCTCAAAAATAAAAACACATTCTATTTGAGGGATTTTGTCCTTAGGAAGCTGCTACTGAATATCAGCTCTCTCTTGCTTTGTCTTCTGGACAATTTATGAAACAGATGTTAATGTTTCAATCTAATGACAGAGAAATTAGTCTGAAATGGTAAAATAAGGTTTGCTGTATAGAAAGAAAACTCTTTTAAAGGCTAGGTCTCCTCCTCCCCATCAGTTAGTGCTACTCAACCCCACTCCCTTTCCCCACTCCCATACCAGCCTGGATTAAATGCCTCAGCTTTAGAAACTACTAGAGGACAGAATAGGAAATATTCAGTTTCTTTTAGAAGAAGACCAGGCAAACAAAGTGAGAAAATACGTACAGCTTCCAAACTTCAGTGGGCAGGCATGCACATCCATAGGAAAATCTTCCAAATGCATGGGACACTCAGCATGAATTGTTAACCTAAAAGAAAGGAGAACAGAAAATGAAATTAAGCCAAAATGAATGCTATTAAACATGGAGCTGAGTTCCTGTTCACCAGCAATGGCATGCTTCTAAGTATAACAGGATTTTGTTTGTTTAGATTCACTGAGATCCAAGTTTTTATGAACACAGGGGATAAATTAAATGAACTAGGTAGTCTCTCAAAGCAGCATTCAGTATTCAGATTTTTAGATTAGATCTGAATCCCATCTTACCACATTTAGAAAAGCAAATGTAACTTATCTGCCCTAGCTGAGCTCCTTAGCTACCTGACCCCCACAATGAAGTCTAGAAACACAGGGTCCTGACTCATTCACTCTTGATAGCAGTTTAATTATTTCTGAAATAATTCTCCTCAGCAGGCTATTGTGTGAGTTAACCAATTTAAAGACTGCACTGGAGAGGAGAGATAGGTAGAAAGGATATTTTTACCCTGATAATGAACAAGCACAAAAGATGGCTCTGCTGCTCACAGTAACTGCTATAGCTTTGTTGAAGGAGATGGCTCCTGGAGAATGCGTACACACACACACACCCACCCAGACGCCCACACAGAGCAACTGGCCAGAAAAAAAAATACAGACCCAGCCCCAATGGCCTAGTGGTTAAAGTTTGGCGCACTCTGCTTCAGTGGCCTGGGTTCGATTCCTGGTCACAGAACCACACCACTCATCTGTCAGTAGCCATGCTGTGGTAGCAGTTCACATAGAAGAACTAGAAGGACTGACAACTACGATATATAACTATGTACTGGGGCTTTGGAGAGGAGAAAAAAAAGAGAGAAGAAGATTGGCAACAGATGTTAGCTCAGAGCGAATCTTGCCCAGGGGGAAAAAAAAATACAAAGGTAGTTGAGGACATCAGAAACCTCAGAGGTCAAGTCTGAAGAGCTCATGCTTTCTTAACAGGCACTACATGTGAGAGAGACTGTGCATGGATTGCTCAATGGAAATCTGGATGGGGTATAATTTACCATGCCCACATACTCATTCCCCTGCATTAGTCTGTCTAAATAATGTATTCTAAGATTTCCCCTCTGATTTATTTCAAAGTTTTTGAGCCTCAACTTTCCTTGGCCTAGATAATAGCCCCCTATGTAGAAATGGCACCCACACAGCAATAATTCAGAGTTCTTTGTAGCATAGCTCTGATGAACTATTTCTAGCTAACCTGTATACCTCCTGGTTATATTGGATTCGATCCCTGCCATCCTCTTGGAGTTCTAGGTGGCCAACTGGCCAGCATCTCCAATCCTGGCTAATTGTTAAACCTGATGAATGTGTGATACCTCACAAATGATCAGAGCAGCAATACTAGATATTGTTCAAAGCAAGCTGACTAAAGGAAATATGCTCACATGTGTATTAGCAAGAACCCTAGGCTGGAAGGCAGAAACCAAGTGTATTCTCTTCAGCAAATACTTACCCACCTCTTATTTTCAGTTTCCCCATCTAAATAGTAAGAGGTTGCAACCAGAGGGCAAGTGTTCTTGCAGTAACTAATCCCTTGGATATTTACAAAATTTCCCATGATTCTTGGACAAAAGCTCAATTCTCAAGTCAGCCTGCAACATCCCACCAATCTAACCTTTATTCTTAAGGCATAAAGAGGAATTCAAGACTCAAAGAATCTGACACAAGAGAAATGTATTTCACTGAGAAACCTGCTCCTTGTGTTGGATACTTAAAAAATTCCATGAGGGTTTAATAAAGAAAATTGTGTTCCTTCTCTCCACTTATATTAGTATTTCCAAGATATTGCCTCTTATGAGTGACGCCAAGGGGAAATTACTTTATGTCTACCCAGCAATCCTGGGGACATGGCAAATAAGACCACGACAAATAGATTATCAAAGCAAGATGCAAAAGGTACTGATTTCTGATTAGGAGCATAATTGATTTATAATAACTTTCCTGTCTTCCTTCCCATACACTTCTTGCCCATCCCACCTAAGCACAGAGCAGAGAGTAGAAAGCAGATGTTGGTGTGGACAGGGTATCTCACAAGCTGAATTATGCTGTACGCTTTTCATTGGTTCTTAAACAAACCCTAATGCTCTTTGACCTCCTATGCCCTACTGTCTTCCTTTCTTGCCTTCTTTCCACCTTGCTACAACTTTCAAGACCCATTCGAGCTTTTTCTGCAGCAGAAAGCACCCTGACTGTACTCAGGCTAATATACTCATCACCACAATCTATGCCGTAAACATATCCATCCCCTCCAAAAGTTTCCTCTCACCTGCTTTTTATTATTATCATTATTATTTTGTGTGACAAGAACACTTAACATAAGATCTACCCACTTAACAAATTTTTAAGTACATATTACGATATTGTTAATTGGCAAAGGATCTGAATAGACACTACTCCAAAGAAGACATACAAATGGCCATAGGTATATGAAAAGGTGCTTAACATCACTAATCAACAGGGAAATGCAGATCGAAACCACAATGAGATATTACCTTTCACCTGTTAGGATGGCTATTATCAAAAAACACAAAAGATAACAAGTGTCGGCAACGATGTGGAGAAAAGGGAACCCTTGTGCACCGTTGGTGTGAATGTAAATTGGTGCAGCCACCGTGGAAAACAGTATGAAGGTTCCTCAAAAAATTAAAAATAGAACTACTGTAGGATCCAGCAATCCCACTTCTGGACATATATTTCCAAAGAAATTGAAATCCAGATCTCAAAGAGATATCTGCACTACCACGTTCATTGCAGCACTATTCACAATAGCCAAGACCTGGAAGCAACCTGTGTCCATAGATAGATGAATGGATAAGAAGATGTATATACAGATCATCATGGTGGCATAAGAGGATCCCTTTGTCTCTCCCCTTCAATCTACAGCAAGTAAAATATCCATAATCCAACAAAGGCTACATTGCCCAACATACCAGAATGCCAGAGAGAGCCATACATCAGTACATACAAAGTGAGTGGATTGGAGCACATAGAGGAGGCTAAATTGGGGAACAGCAGAGGCGGTACCCAGGACCCTGGACCCCCGGCCATGGCAGCTGAGCGAGCCACCCCCAGCTTCAGAGAACCTGGTAGGCAGCAACAGAGGTGTGTGTGTGACTTTTTCCTCTGACTAAGAGGGAAGTTTATAGCAATACGGGCCTATGTCAAGAAACAAAAACAATTTCAAATAAACAATCTAACATTATACATAAAGGAACTAGAATAAAGAAGAGCAAATGAAGCCCAAAGTCAGTAGAAGGAAGGAAATAAGAAAAATCCAAGTGGAAATAATTCAAATAGAGACTAAAAAGACAATAGAAAAGATCAATGAAATTAAGAACTGGTTCTTTGAAAAGATAACCAAAATTGACAAACCTTTGGCTAGACTCACTAAGAAAAAAAGAGAGAAGGCTCAAATAAATAAAATCAGAAACAAAAGAGGAGAAACTACAATGGATACCACAGAAATACAAAGGATTATAAGAGAATACTGTGGAAACCTATATGCCAACAAATTGTATAAGCTAGAAAAAAGGGATAAATTCTTCGAATCATACAAGCTTCCAAAACTGAATCAAGAAAAAAATAGATAATCTGAATAGATGAATTACTAATAAGAGGATTGAAACAGTAATCAAAAACCTCCCCAAAACCAAAAGTCCAGGACCAGACAGCTTCTCTGGTGACTTCTACCAAACATTCAAAGATTTAACATCTATCCTCTACAAACTCTTTCAAAAACATCAAAAATGGGCCGGCCCTGTGGCGTAGCAGTTAAATGCGTGTGCTCCACTGCTGGTGGCCCCGGTTCGGATCTTGGGCAGGCACCGATGCACAGCTTGTCAGGCCATGCTGTGGTGGCGTCCCACATAAAGTGGAGGAAGATGGGCACAGATGTTAGCGCAGGGCCAGTCTTCCTCAGCAAAAAGACGAGGATTGGCATAGATGTTAGCTCAGGGCCAATCTTCCTCACAAAAAAAAAAGCAAAGAGAAGGGGATGCTTTCTAACTCATCTTATGAGGCCAACATTACGCTGATACCAAAACCAGACAAGGACAACACAAGAAAAGAAAATTATGGCCAATATTGCTGATGAACATAGATGCAAAAATACTCAACACAATAATAGCAAATGGAATACAACAATACATTGAAAGGATCAAACACCACAATCAAGTCAGATTTATTCCAGGGATGCAAGGATGGTTCAAAATCTGTAAATCAATTGTGATACACCACATTAACAAAATAAAGAATAAAAATCACATGACTATCTCAATAGATGCAGAGAAAGCATTTGACAAGATTTAGCACCCATTTATCATAAAACTCTCAATAACATGGGTATAGAGGAAAGTATCTCAACATAAGAAATGTCATATATGACAAACTCCATAGCCAACATCATACTCAATGGTGAAAAACTGAAAGCTATTCCTCTAAGAACAGGAACAAGACAAGGATGTCCACTCTTGCCACTCTCACTCAACATAGTATTGGAATTCCTAACCAGAGCAATTAGGCAAGAAAAAGAAATAAAAGATATCTGAATTGGAAAGGAAGATGTAAAACTGTCACTATATGTGGAGGACATGATTTTATATATAGAAAACCCTAAATAATCCACCAAAAAACTATTGGAAATGATTAATGAATACAGTAAAGTTGCAGGGTGCAAAATCAATATACAAAAATCAGTTGCATTTCTATACACTAACAATGAAGTGGCAGAAAGAGAAATCAAGAATACAATATCATTTGCAATTGCAAAAAAAACAATAAAATACCTAAGAATAAATTTACCCAAGGAGGTTAAAGACCTGTACACTGAAAACTATAAGGCATTGCTGAAAGAAATCAAAGAAGACACAAAGAAATGGAAAGATATTCTGTGCTCAAGGATTGGAAGAATTTGCATTTTTTGTGTGTGTGTGAGGAAAATCAGCCCTGAGCTAACGTCTGCCAATCCTCTTCTTTTTGCTGAGGAAGACATGCCCTGGGCTAACATCC